TTCACTGCTTTCGCTCCCTGCTGCCCCACTTACCTTCCTAAATATTGCTTCTCTTTTCCACCACCAGACACCTCTGGTTCCTGCACAGCCAGTGAAGTGCTTCGTGTGTGTGTGTGTGTTAGCGTTAGCCCTCCAAAAAAAAGCCATGGTAACAGATGACTCTGTCTCCTTGACTGGATCCCAGAGGAGTTATGGAAAGTGTCAGAGTCAACCCTTCAAGTCACTGGCTACCCTCTCACAATGTGAGAGGCTGTAATTATTTTTGGTCCTATATTTTCATGTAATTATAATAATAAACTCAGCCTAATCAGAGTGACCATTTAATTTAAGACCCTGTTTGTAATTTATCAAGTATGATAGCGTTAAAAATATTAATATGTGACAACATTTTGAATATATGTATAGAGTGGAAATTAAGGAGGAACCATTTTGGCATTTCCACCTTTAAAAACTGCTCTCTGTGCAAAAGAAAAGTGGAATAAAGCACCAAATAGCTGTTATTGCTTACTACTAAGCTTTAAAAAAAGCACCTTGTAAAATTTCCATTAAACAAGGCTGTGGTGACCATCCACATCACTCATGTCATTCATATTCATGAGCTGATTTGCATGAATTTATGAGAGGGCTTGAGAGGCGGAGTCAGCAGCGACATGAAGCCTGGCTGAAGAAGGAGGAGTCAGATAGGGCTGGTTAGTCAGACAGTTAGGATTAGTCATTCAGAGGGATAGAGCTGGTTAGAAAAATTGGTAGAGAGGGTAGTAATGAAATTGCAAACGAAAAGAACTATGTACTTAGAGAACTGTTGATGAATTTCTTATGTATACTGAACATCTGAAAAACTTCTGTTATTACTCATTTTGCTTCACTTCAATAAATAAGTTCTGTTTCTGTTCACAAGACAAGTGTTCTGATGTATGTCATTTGTATTGTAGATTGAAGTAATCCACTGGTAGCAGCAAGAATACCATATGAAGTGTGCTTTTGTGGGGGAATAATAAACAGGGGGCATGTGGGTATTGCTACAAATTGGTGTCAGCTTGTGAGATACGTAGCGTTAGCCCTTGGTTTGGTGAAATAAGCAGGGGCCACAAGGAAAATTTCACAAAGGCCTTCGGAGGGAAATATGCAGGACAACAGGCAACCATCTGAGGGCTGTTGGGATAGGATATATGGGTATCTTTCTGCGGTTGGAGAATATGACTGCTCTAGTATAGTTATGGAAAGCACCACAGAACTAGTTTTACTGCTAGCAGGAGGCCTCAAAGCAGAGTGTTCTGAGAATTGAGGCCATTTCTCTCTGTGATCCTGTAGGTTCCTCAGTTAAACTGGTCTATACTATAAATAAATGGGTATCCACTTTCTGTTTCAGAGAAGTGGATTTGAAACAGAGGTCTCACCTAGGCAAGCCTAGTAAAGCCATATCCTACCTGGACTTATAGAAGCTAGTTCAGTGGTTGGGGAACAGGGGTAATTTACCCCAAATTGGGTAAAAATTTTAATCCTGGGGGTAATGAGTACGTGTGCGGAGGCACCTCCTGGCTGCCCTGCTCTCGTACGTCACACGCTTCTCTCTCCCCAGCCTGGCTGGTGGCAGTGGCTGCAAGGCTGCTAGCCCGATGCTCGTCTCACTTTGCCCACCCTTTTTAGGAGCTGAGGCTGCCTTGGGATTCAAGCGGGTGGGAAGCAGACTAAAGACAGAGGCATGCCGCAGGCAGGCACTGGCCTCCTCCCTTGCCCTCCTGCTCCATGCGTCTTCCCTTGCCAGGGCCTTTGCTGCGCGCAGCCCCTCCCCAATCCTTTCCTCCCTTCTCCCCTCCTTTGGCTGCGCTGCGCAGTCCAGCCTGGGCTCCTCAGCTCTTCTGAGCTAGGTGTGTTGCTTTTGTAAAAAAGAAAGCAGGGCTGTGCCCAGCCTGAAGGGGAAGCAATTTGCCGTGCAGCAAAGATATGCATTCGACAATCTAACTAACCAGGTGCCTTTGAGCGTGTGCTGAGCCGCTTCCTCCATTGGATTAAGCACAGTCTTTCCTTTCCTCAGCGACCCATTGGCGAAGAGAAACTAAGTTCCCCAAGGTCTAGAGTGCCCTGTGAAGTTTGTTGTAACAGAAGGGGGAAAAGGGGCTCTTGTGGCACTTTTAAAGATTAACAGTTTTCGATTTGGCAGGAATTTTTGCAGACTGCAGCCCACCTGCTAAGTTTCCTCCAATTGTATAAAGTAAACCGGAAAAAGAAAGAGAGTGGTCCCTTAAACATACACAGAGCGCTTGTGCCCTGATTAAGCACAAGTGGATACCCCAGGTCAAGAAACAAGCAAATTCTAGGCAATTTGTCTGGGTGCCTGTTTTCACAAAATGTGCTGTCATAGCTTTTCGGGGTATGCTGATGAGAACATTGTAGTTCTCTGAAGTATCCTGACTCTGAACACAGCGACATCATTTGGTTGTCATGATGATCACTAGCCATCCACAGTGCTGCCTTCCCTGAACTTTTCAGATCCTTTTTGAAAGCCAAGTAGGCTGGTAACCATCTCCACCTGCATCCTGTGGCAGAGAGTTCCACAGGTTCAATTGTGAATAGATTCAATAAGATTTTGAATTCAAATAATGTATGATTTCCTTCCTTTCAAATCAAGGGGGTAATGTCAGCATATATAAATTTTTGGGGGGGTAAAAGGTAAAAAAGTTCCCTGACCCCTGAGCTAGTTGGACTGGAATTGATTGGTAATCTGCCACTCCATTCTCTCCCTCCCCAGCTTAGTTCTGCCGTATTGATAAATGATTGTGAAAAGTATGTTACCTAGTTGTTAAACTGCATTGAGGGTTTTTCACCTACTTTTGCTTTTCATATGTTCTTTAAAGTTTTAAGTGTTTTTTCAACCATCCATCAATTTTTTTCCCTTTTTTACTGCAGTAATTGTCTTTACACATTCTTTCTTTCCTAATACTATCTCCGGTTTCATTTTACAGTTCTCAGTTTTTCTGGTTCACAGTCAATTGAGTTTAGTAATGAATGTCTGTGCCTTACATGGACTTCAAATTCATCAGGAATGTTGTTTCGCATTTTGGCATTACAGTTCTTTTAGTGTTCTTATTCAGCTTTAGTCTAATGTTGGATATTAATTGCTCATGATCAGTACTACAATCCCTTCCTTGTCTTGCTCTGGTGGAGAGAATACAACTTCTCCATCACCTGCTTCCAGTTACATAGTCTATTTGGATTCTGTATTGATGTCCACATGTAGAGCCATCTGTTCAGTTGTTCGAAGCATGTATTTGCAATAAACAGATTGTGGATGAAACAGATTTCTCCTGTTTCATTTCTGGCCAAATTTTCCAGCAACATTTGGTTCTGCCTTGTTTCCTAATTTTGCATTCCAGTCACCTATGATTATAAACACTTCTTATTTTGGTGATCAACTTCCTCTTGTATGTGTGCCTAAAAGCTTTCAATTCCATCTTCTTCTGCATTAGTATTTGGAGCATAGACTTGAATGATGGGTATAAGGGTAGATTTCCCATGGAGTCAGATTGATATTATTTGGTCCTTTTGGCTTTAATCTGGTTGCATCATTAGCCACAGAACTATTCATACGGTACTTGTTCTTTGCTCTTTTTCACTAGCTTATTGAGTCTCATCTTCCAGCACTATCTCTTGTTTCATTTTGGACTTTCTTATAATTGGGTTTTCATGGCAAGGAAAGCTCAGCAGGGTTTACCCTTGCCACCTATTGCACAGTCATAACAAAAGTTAGCTTGAGTGTCATCACCTCTTCAGCTACTGCTGCCACCTCATAGCTGCCTTGCAGACGGTGGGTGCACCGTAGTCTGGTGTCTCAGCTTTGATAGTTCTGTCTTGGGTAATCCTCCTAGGAGTCCAGGATCAAAATGGAGTTTGGCCTCTTGACAACATTGCTCTCAGCTTCACTTATATACTCAAACCCCTTTACTGTGTTAAGGTGTGCATCCAAGAAGGGATTTCTTGCATTAATGTAATATAAAACATCAGTGTTTGAAAAAATGTGCAAGGCCTGCAAAATGCTTCTATTTTATCAGTTAAAGATGAATAAGTTGGGAGTATTGTTTGGAATGTTTAATCTTTTTAATGTTTATTTTCCAGTTCTCCATTGAAGTGTTGCATGTTTAACAAAAATAATAGTTGAATTAGCAATAATGTGTTCGATACATATCTTTTTCTGGCATACTATGTTTCTCTGAAAATAAGACAGGGTGCTATATTAATTTTTGCTCCAAAAATGCATTAGGATTTATTTTCAGGGAATGTTTTATTTTTTTCCATGTACAACAATCTACATTTATTCAAATATAGTTGTGTCATCTTCTTCTGGTTGCTGCACAGTGGTGGAGGGTGGGATTTCACTTAACTGGGGCTTATTTTTTTGGCTAGGGCTTATTTTCAGGTTAGGTCTTATTTTGGGGGAAACAGGGTAGTTTGTTCTTAGGATCCTAGAATTATGGAATTGGAAGGGAGTTGCCCCTTAAACCAGATCTGGAGTTTTTTTAAATTAGAAAGTCTGCTAATCTTTCTTCTCTATTGCAAACGTTTCCAGTGTCATTCCATGGGTCTTCTTCCCAGATCTCTTGTACACACAAGAATCAGTTCCATGGGGCTGGAGAAGCAGTCTGGAACAGATTTTTTTTTGTGACAGAGAGGAGGATAAAAAGATAAAAATGTGTAGCCTATTACAGTATTTTCTTTCCCTTCTAGCTTATTTGATTTTTTAAAAGCCTGTTGAGTTTCCCAATCTTTTTGGAAGTGCAGTGGATTTAATTTAGAGCTGAGCTTGGTCGATGGCTTTTAAAATACTAGATGCCATCCATATGATTTCTTGTAAACTTCATGTTTTATTTTTGTGTATATTTATTTCAGGATCTCTATGTGCAATGTAACTTTGGCAATGTATATGTAAACATTTGTATTATAGGTAACAGATGGTGTTCTTGAACTATTTGTTGAGTCCTAACCTTTTGCTTTGTGTTTTCTAGGCCGCTGAATATGTCCCAGAAAAAGTAAAGAAAGCTGAAAAGAAACTAGAAGAGAATCCATATGACCTTGACGCTTGGAGCATTCTCATTCGAGAGGCACAGGTTTAGTGACATAGGATTACATTTCCTTATCAATGGGTCCACTCACAATGATTGGTTCTCAACTAAATGTCAATACATTTTTACATCATAAATATTGTAAATATTTATTGGTTTTCAATTTTTAGAATCAACCTATAGACAAAGCACGGAAGACCTATGAACGTCTTGTTGCCCAGTTCCCAAGTTCTGGCAGATTCTGGAAACTGTACATTGAAGCTGAGGTTAATATTTTCATATTTTTTCTTAAACATATAATAAGAATTTAAGTTGACACAGAAACATTAGTTAAGTACAACTTGGGTAAGGGAGGAATTGACTTAGTTCTGTAACAAAGGTAAAAGGGAACAATGAAAATGAACTCTTAACTATTTGGGTCTTTGATCTAGTGATTGTTGCATTATGGACTTGCAACAACATTAAAACCGTTTCAATGGTATTGGAGTGCTTTAGCCTTTTATTTACTTGTCGTGTCAATTTATTGCCTCCTGTGTCGTTTATTTAGAGCTCCTTTTTGTTCATATAAGTTAACAAATGGTTTTGTGATTTTCTGGGCTCTATTTTTTAATTTCGTAGACTGGGTTGAGTTTTTGAAAAGTTTGCTGGGTGGGGGTTGGAAACACAGATAATTTTTTTTTGAAAATCACTGGAAATGTGGTAAAGTTAAATTTGAATGATCAGAGATGTATCTACAAGTACATGCCTAACAATACTCCTAACATAAGTAAGCATTTTACCCTGTCCTAATAGCCTGAAAGTCTTATACAGTACAATGTTGGGAAAATAATATACTGCTAAATTCTTTTGTACAAATGTATTAAACTGACAGGTAAGATAACATATACTGTATAACTGGATGTTATGATTAAAAATAATAGCTAATGTACAGTATTTAGAAATTAAGTAAGACACAAAATCTAGTTGTAAACTGGTAAGTACAATCAGTTTGAAGATGATGGACATTATGTGATCCACATGGCATGAAATTAGTAATCTGAGATATCTAATTAGAAAAGATAAAAATATCAACAATATTGAAAGATACGTCATTGTTTTTAGGTGTGTAAGAAAATAACATTTTTGATTTTTATTGGCTACATATAAAACTTTGATGGGGATTATTCTAGGCACACACATATATTGTGCATAAGCAATGTTCCTTATGCAGAAGATGTATTCTGGTATGCAAGTTCATATAAGGTAAACATACTAGGTATATGTTCTCCTGGTTATGTCAGACATGTACTAACTTGGCTGCTTATTTGAAGCAAGATAGTACAAATGGTTTTAGGCACCTTATTTGCATGTGTGCTGATAATCTGTTCCTCCTCTAAAAGAGCTTTCTGTTCCCCAGTCCTTACCTGTGATAATTATAAAAAGCATATGTTACCTTGTGTGTGATAGGAGTGAGACATACTTTTGAAATCCAGTGTGTCTGTTTGATAAACAGCAAGAGAACACACTACAATCTTACAATGAGAGTGACTCATGTTCCATGAATAGGTCTTGCTATTCACAAAAGAAAACATACAGTGGTGCCCCGTATAGCGAGGTTAATCCGTTCCGGATTAACCTTCGCTATACGAAAACATCGCTGTGCGGGTAAGGAAAGCCTATTGGAACGCATTAAACTTAGTTTAATGCGTTCCAATAAGCGTGCAAACTTACCCCTCCAGCCGCGGATGGCCCGAAATGGCCCCCCCGCAGCGTTTTCGCGACCTCCGTAAGCAAGGGGAGGGGCGCGAAAACACTGATAGGGGACATTTCGGGTCATCCGGCGGCCATTTTGGAGCCGCCGATCAGCTGTTCGGCGGCTCC